CGTCGCCGTTTCTCGGGTATCGGCACCGGGTTGTCTCCTTACCTCTCCCAGTACCCTTGAATCGAGTCGAGTCTTTTCAAAGAACTTGACAGCGGTCTCGCCAGTAACAACTCCTACACTTTCGGTATCGGCTTGGCGGAACAGTTGGCCATAGAGACGTTTCTCCTCGGGCGTCAGGTTCAGGTTCGGCGCGGCTGTGAAACACCGTTGTGGTCAGTACGCTGGCTCTTCTCTATTCGGATCCGCGCGCAAGCGCTACAGCGACTTGCGCACTCACCAGCATCAACGCCCTCTGTGGACATCTTGAAATATCAGGGCTCCTTTCGGTAGGAGCTACGAGACTTGCGCGGCTTGAGGTGGCCCCGATCTCGGTGATTGGCGGGAAGGTTGGTAGGTTGTCGTCAGTTTGGATGCGGCCTCCGGGAGGTTGGGGGCTTGATCGACTCCGGTTCTATCAACCGGGAAACGACACGTTAGAAGCCACACACACGTACACTGACGAGAAAAGTTGGGAATAGGTTAAAGTTACCTTGTACACAGATACTGTGCCCGGTTCTGTTATCTCAGAGAGAGATGTAACAGGACGTATCTCGCGTTTGGACGTTGGTTCCTCCCAATGTAATGAGGTAGGTAGGTAGCGAACAGCACGAGGTCGACTGTGGACGGCTGGGGGGACTGTTGGTCTCCGCTGGCAGGTCGTCAGGCTGGCTAAGGTAATTCGCAAGCCAAGCCACACGTTTAGGTACCTGTGCCTTGAAGAAGTACGTACTTTAGCTCCCGTCTGTGTCGACCTGCACCGATGCGCCCCATTTTAAAGCTCGGGCACACTTCCCACTGCACCCCCATCCGCATTTGACACATCCGACTCCTCCGCGCCGTGCTTCCGGTACCACTGCATCCCGCCTACTTCCATCCCACCTTACCTAGCGTTTCGAGGATGATTGTGATTGTGATTGTGATTGTGTAATGTATTGATTTCAGCTCGCAGGCCTTCGGGAACAGAGCCTCCAACGATGAATGGATTCCAAGATGAAGATTGCGCATAACAACATGTAGCCATTGAACTGTGTGAAACGCGGTACAAGGAAAGGTATTGGAGATATCCGTAGTAAGGCGGGAATACGTAGCACCACACAATTCAAAGCTTTGAGGTGATTCATCCTCGTGGTATTAAAGTCGGCTATTCTTTTCTCACTCTAACAACTGAAGTAAACACGCCTTTGGCCCCGTAGGACGACAGCATCATTGCAAACATCCATGACACCAAAGCCTGCGCCCCATAAAGAATCGGGGGGTGTTGCTGCGCAACTTGTTCCGCATCCAATCGCCAGGATATAAACATCTTAATACTCAGCCTCAAGACCCTCCTCGCCCTCGAGAGAGTCGGCAGCAACCTCCTCGTAATCGCGCTCCAGAGCAGCGAGATCCTCACGAGCCTCGGAGAACTCACCCTCCTCCATACCCTCACCGACATACCAATGAACGAAGGCACGCTTGGAGTACATGAGATCGAACTTGGTTGACAGGGCGGACCAGGCCTCGGCAATGGCGGTGGTGTTGGAAAGCATGCACCTGAAATGACTGTCAGCGACATACATTCTTACTCTTTAGGGATCATGGCAGGACTTACACAGCACGGCTGACCTTGGCGAGGTCACCGTTGGGCACCATCTGGGGAGCCTGGTAGCAGATACCAAGCTTGAAGCCAGTAGGGCACCAATCGACGAACTGGATGGTACGCTTGGTCTTGAGGGTGGCAACAGCGGCGTGGGCATCGTTGGGAACAACGTCACCGCGGTACAGCAAGCAAGTGGCCATGTACTTGCCGTGGCGGGGGTCACACTTGACCATCTGGTTGTTGGGCTCAAAGCAAGACATGGTCATCTCTTGGACAGAGTTGGCCTCGTGGGCGGCCTTGGCGGCCGAGATCATGGGCGCGTAGGCGACCAGGGGGAAATGAATGCGAGGGTAGGGGACCAAGTTGGTCTGGAACTCGTTCAGGTCGACGTTGAGGGAGCCGTCGAAGCGGAGGGAGGCGGTGATGGAGGAAACGACTGCGGGTCACTCGTCAGTATCCCAAATTTTTGACAGGAAGCGTCATGTTGTCATGGTAAAACTTACCTTGGGCGATGAGGCGGTTGAGGTTCTCGTAGTTGGGGCGCTCAAGACCCAGGTTGCGACGGCAGATGTCGTAAATGGCCTCGTTGTCGACCATGAAGGAGCAGTCAGAGTGCTCGAGGGTAGTGTGGGTGGTGAGGATAGAGTTGTACGGCTCAACGACAGAGGTGGCGGTCTGAGGGGCGGGGTAGACGCAGAATTCGAGCTTGCTCTTCTTTCCGTAGTCGACAGAGAGACGCTCCATGAGGAGAGCGCCGAAACCAGAGCCGGTACCACCACCGAATGAGTGGAAGACAAGGAAGCCCTGAAGACCAACGCAGTTGTCGGCAACACGGCGGACCTTGTCGAGAACCTGGTCGATGAGCTCCTTGCCAACGGTGTAGTGGCCACGAGCGTAGTTGTTGGAGGCATCCTCCTTGCCAGTAATCATGTGCTCGGGGTGGAAGAGACCGCGGTAGGGGCCAGTGCGGACCTCGTCGACGACGTTGGGCTCAAGATCGCAGTAGATAGCACGAGGGACGTACTTGCCCTGGCCTAGACACATTCCGCTTGATCAGTACAATACTCAACAAATGATCTGGGAGTTTGTCAGGCCAAGATCGTACCAGTCTCGGAGAAGAAAGTGCTGAAGCCATGGTCGGGGTCAGCCGCCTTACGCTCCTCGGTCAAGTATCCATCGGGCTGGTAAGAGAGTTGCACGTTAGGATGCTGAACGGAATGAAGACGAGACGTGTTGCAGGCTTACCTGGATACCGTGCTCAAGGCAGTAAAGCTATAGGGCGTTGACGATTAGTTTGTTTCCTTCGAGTTGGCGGTGCCAAATTTGTCTTCTTCGAGTAAGGCTTTGACAAGTCGTTTCCAACAGTCGACTCGGCGATATGGGATATCGAACAAACACGAGAAACATACCTCCCAGCAGGAGTTGGCGATCTGGCAACCGGCCTGACCGACTAAAGGAAGAAGTTAGCAGGTGTTAAAATGTCAAAGATTAAAGGGCCGTTATGGCGGGCGATTGCCGCAGGCGCATCTGGTAGCTGGGGTGAGGATGCGGTGAAGGCGGACGCGTGGGGTCGGGGAATCAAAACAAAAGTCGGATCTGCTTACCGTTGATGCTGATGACCTCACGCATATTGGCGGCAAGTTGTATGAGGGTATAGACAAGCGATTGAAAGAGGAGAGCAAAGAAGCAGGACTCGAGGAGGTGAGAAGCAAGCAAAAAATGTCGTCTTTGCAGCTATCACGAGAGGATGTCGGACAGGAGGTTGAAAAGGTTAGGTTAGGCCTGGCAAGTGCAAGGGGAAGGAATAATAGGTGCTGGGCTCGTGCTTGTGTCTTTTCGGTGGTGGACTGTGGACTGTGGACTGCCAACTGATGGTGCTTGCTGGCAGGACCGGGGCGCGGGAGACCTTGGGACGTGAGGTGAGGTGAGGTGGGACGTGGGACGTGGGACCGGGTCCCTCAGGTAGTCGAAAAATCGGGGTGGGGTAGGAAATTTGGTGCGCCAGGGGCCGTGCAGCCAGTCCAGCGAAGTTTTGTTGATATGAACGGGCCCAAAGTGGTAAGCGCGTCTGCCCACGGTCTGTTGTCGTTGGCGATGCTGTCCAATCGCAGGAGCGCACGACGGGAGGCACCGGGGATGTCTTATTGGCCCCCTGAATGGGGGGACTCGGCAGGTAAGGTAGGTACAGGGCAGCCTTGGGTAAGGTACGTATCTCGGAGCCTGGCACTCTGGGAAACATTGGAGAAATCGCTCTGCGGGCTAATCTGCCATTGGCAGGCAAGGTTCACCGCACTTCGCTGGTTCCAAAGTTCGAATATGGCCTGCTAGGAAAGTTGCCTTTACTGTGTAAGGTAGGTACCTCGAGGTAAGGTACCTAGGCATCTAAGGTCCCTTCTGAGGCAGGAGGTGAAGGAACACAACCCTTTTCAACGCAAACTAGTTGTTTAATTACCATTAACACACAGTACGATACGAGAAACGTCGAAGCCGGGTTGGTCCAATTTTTTTTTTCCCCCCAAGACGTGTTCCACGACGGTTAGAAATGGAGACCCCGGCCACGCCTTTCTGCATTCATGTATGGATACCTAAGCTCTTGGGCAACTAAAAATCGAACAGTCGTTGAAGAAACGTTCTCGAGAGGTCCGTCCTGCGAAACACAGAATCAACGTATCTGCAGACGAGGGTAGAGGCTAGATGAGGATCATCTTTTTCTGTTTGGCTCTGAAATGGCCTTCAACAGCCTTCAAGCATCAGATACCTACAAGTCCAGGCAAATGACGGCCGGTGGCTGAACCCAAACACACAAGAATCCCCTTCCTCCGGAGCCCGCATCCGTAACCAAGGGAAAGTCAATTAGTAAGGCGGGTTCCGCACCTCACCAGGCTCCAGGAATCCTCAATCGCCGAGTGGAAACAGGACCCATCGGCGAACCGTGATGGCGGTAAAACAAAACAGTAGCCTGGCGTTGTGTCAAAATGGGATTCGATAAAGACGTTTTGTTGTTTCATGTGTAGGTAAAGTACATAGAAGCCTAGGATCGAAGACAGCAGAAGGCAGAAAAGAAAGAGAGCGAAAAGAGGCCCAGGCAGACCAAGCCTCTCAGGCGTCCGTCCCAGTCCAGATCAAAACGTGCCAGTCAGTCCCGTCATTCTCCACCCCTGTCTCACATTCGGCTCGCCGAGTAATCCCTACCTACCTACCTATCAAACAGCTTCACTCAACTACATCGCTGATCACTATACGCAGTATTTACCTACCACCACCGCCACATCTCGTCACAACAAAAGTAACCCAGGCAGCAGACAGATTAACTCCTCAAGGCTTCCGAATACCTTACAGCTGGGACCTGCTGCCTCATCGCTACCTAGGTCAACAGACAACTATGCAGCTAGCCTTCGCCGCCGGCCTCACCCTGGCCTGCTGCCTCGATGTTGTTCGGGCCAACACCGAAAAGGTCATCTTTCTCGGGCCCGAGACGGTTAATGTTCCGGCCACACCACCAACAATCCAAGACCTTCGTTTAGACATCCTCACGCCCGATGAGTGGTCCAAACGGGTTCAATTGCCAGCATCTTTTCCAACGTCGGACTCTCCTCTGGGCACGACATCCTGGCTGCTGCTCACCAACTTGACCCAAGGCCAGCGTTATGAACTTCGAGTTTGTTGGTCGGCCACGGTGCGTTGTTCGGTGACCCTTCTTAATATCTGGCATTGAATTCTTATGATACCTATACAGCAACCCACTGCTTTCGCGCTCGACGTATTTGAGCTGCCCGCCGTGTGGGATACTCCGGAGCTCATCTCATCATTGGCAACTTACGCATTCTCCCGTCAGTCTAATCAGGACGATGCCGACGCGCACCAAGCCTTGCAAAGCAGAGGACGGGAGCATGAGAGTTCGCTGCTGTTTCTTCGGGTTTCGGCCTCGGCGGATTATTTCACAGACAACGACACACTCATGACCAAAGTCGAGCCCGTCAGCGTTGACCTGATCCTTGACCCGTTCTTGTTCAATGTTTTGCCACGATCCTTGGTGCCTACCGTCGCTTACATCGTACTCGTGGCGCTTTCAGCTTGGTTCCTATCTAAACGCATTCTCGCTTGGATTCAACCGGTGCTCGCCGCTGAAGGCCGGTCCACAGAAAAGAAGAAGAGGCTCTGAGCACGTAACTAATGCAACGCGTCGCCTTCTCCATGGATTCATCTCTTGCTCAAAACGAAAGGACCTCTAACAACAAAAATTCCATTGGGTACAAAAAGCCCCCGCGTGTTGCTTCAAATAATATCCAAGGCTCGTCGCATATCTCCCATCATCAAGCAGCAAGATTTGCAAAGGAGGGGATAAAGTCCGCTTTACCTGCCAAATCGGCATCCCCTGCGTCATTCTTGAGCATATCTTACTCGGGAAAACGAACGGCTAGGTCCGATAATCCATGTGTACTATTGACGTCGGAAGCCACGCCAGGTCTTACCCGGCTACGGGAGCACTCTTTAAATACACGCCTCTTCACAGGCATCTAGTAGTGGTTACCATAGCTGGGTTGTTGAGAAGGCTGGCCGCCGTACGAAGGTTGGCTGGGATAGCCCCCTCCAGTCTGAGGGCCCTGTGGACCGTTGCTGTAGGTGGCAGGGTTATATCCTCCGTATTGTTGTTGCTGTTGGTGCGGCTGGTGTTGCTGCTGGTTGTGCTGCTGGTTTGGCTGGGCACCATAGCTGGACTGCTGACCATACGAAGGGGCACCACTGGAAGGTGGAGGTGGGTAGGACTGAGTGTGCGACTGCTGAGAGGGCGCGCCGTAGGAGTTGTTGTGATGAGGTTGGCCTTGGTTTGGCGGAGGGGCGTACTGATTAGGAGGTGGAGCATATGACTGCTGCGAATGGTTCTGGCCCTGGTTCGGCGCAGGAGAGTGATATGAACCTCCCGCTGGAGTAGACGAGTGCTGGTTATGCGAAGACGAACCAGGTGGCTGGTAAGAAGTAGGAGGAGCCTGGCCGGTGTAGCCTCCGCCTCCGCCGCCTCCGGAGGCATTGTTGGAGTACCCGAAATCATTGTTGCCCTGGATGCTCAAGTCAGTCATGCGCCTGGCAACTGATTGTGTACTCTCTGACATACACCGTGACTCTGCTTGTTTCCGCCAAACATGGTTGCAACGCCACCCATCAGAGACCCAGCCAGACCACCTTGTTGTTGATGACCCGAGGACTGGCCGCCATGGTAATTTTGTGACTGGCCCTGCTGAGACTGCTTTCCGCTCGAGAGCAGGCTCGAGGCTAGAGAGCTGCCAATCTTGCCCAGTGAACTCTTGCCGCCCCCGCTGCTACTCCCATGACTGTTACCGTGCCCACCGATACCGTTCATCAATTGACTGGCAATGCCCCCAAAGGGGCTTGAGCTGCTTTGGTTGCCGGAAGAGGAGCCGTGATTCGAGTTCTTGCTGCTGCCAAGAAGCGCATTCATGGCCATGCTCTGGGGAGGGACCCAAGTCAGTAATCGTGTCTGAAAGCATAGCAGGAACCAAACAGCGGGCGGGAAACGGGCGGGCTAGAATATAGGGAAAGGGGGAAAGGAGGGAAAGGGTCGCATGAAACGTACGCCCAGTCCGCGATCGCCTGTCTGGCCGTCGATACCCCTCGTGCTGGTGGTGTCGGGAGGCATGGAGGGGTTGACGGGTTCGAGGGTGCCATCGGCGTGCTTCACCGTCTGGCTACCGTCAGGATGGGTGATGACCTCGGGTTGAGGAACACCATAGGGGTGGTCGGAAGGTTGAGCAGGTGTCGCGCCGGTGGGCGCGGCATCAGTCGGGGTCTCCCATTGCGAGACACCCGTGGAAAGCTGCACGAAGTAGTACTTCTTGCTCGCACCATCCCACTGAGCAATCCAACCAGCAGGGAGATGGGGCGGGGCATACGTGGGGCCTTCAGCGCCCGGTGAGGTTGGCCCTGCCATAGGAGAGAGTTCAGAGGTCGTCGTCGAGTCGATATGAGGCGCAAAAGAGAGCCAGAGGGCGGCGGGTAGAATGCTACGGCTGGAGGGGATCGCCAACAGTGGACGTGTGGTGTTGACAGAGACGAAAAGTGGCGGGGAAGGACAATGGTGCGGTAAGGTATTGATGAATCCAAGGTAGGTAAGTTAAGGTCTGGATGGATACCGTACGTCTACGGGTAGGTGGTGGGCGTATCGGCACTAATACATGTGGGTGGCCCCGGGGTACAGGCAGTGCAGACAGACTGGATTACAGCCCAGAGGGCAGCCCAGATTTAGGAGCCCAGGGTTTTATAAGGTAGAGATCCATTGCCAAAAGGGACTGAAAGGGGGGTCCATCCATTCATTGCTGCTGCGCTCTGACTAACTATTTACCCATTTCCCACAAAGAAGCCCGGGCGATATGTTCAGCCACCACATGGACTGACGCAGGCACAGACAAGTCTCGATTTTGTCGTGAGAGGGGCAAGAGCACAATAGCTGCTTCTGGGTTGGCTTGGTCAAGATAAATGACTGCCTTATCTCAATGTAAGGTGGGTAACGTACCTTTGGTGACCGGTTTGCGGTCAACATTGACGAGGGGTTATGGTACCTTAAGGATAACCCGGAAGATGTTGAAGATGACAGCAAGGAAATCGTCCCTATCTAGGTACCTCAAGGATAGAGTCCCAAAAATACCTTACCTACGGAGTACCAGACGTCAAGTTCGAACAGACTTTCTATGTATCTTCAATGTGATATGCGACAAGGTAGCCAAGCGCCAGACCTGACCAGCATTGGGCAACGAAAGGGAGCAGCCAGAAAGAAGTTGGACGGTCAGATTGAAATGAATTGCCTAGGTTCTCTCTGGTTAGGTACTCAGGTTGGGCGCCGGTGGAGTCGGGTTTGGCTGGGGCGTGGCAAAGCGACTGCGATTGCGACCATCTAAGGTAGGTAGGTAGGTATGACCGGGCACCTCAGGATCTAGATTCCTCTCCATACCTTACTATGTGTACTATGAACCTAAGGATATCAGGGTTTACAATGGACGTAGCAAATGAGCCCGAGGACCGCGGTAAATCATTTTGCAGCCTGCAAAATATTGCTGAACTGCGCTTCCCTGACAGCTAAAATTACAGCCCCAACAGAGTTGCTGAACGTCGCTGCTTAGGCTGTCTTCATCCTAGATGATATCCGACCAAGCCACAGTCCACGCATTTGCGGTGAGATGTTTGGTTGGTGGGCGGCCTCTGAAGCTTAGTTTGAAGCTTGGTTCTCGTCGCAGCTGCCCACCTAAGTTAGCCCGGGTATTTCGAGTCCAGGTCAAGCCAGGTCTGTGATTTCAGCCCACCAGCCACATATGGCCTTCACTGAGAGTGGCTGGAGGTTGCGGACCGAGGAAACCCCGGCCATCAACAGCGTACCTTATGACACCGACTCTACGGAAGCTCGAAGCACCTTCTATGTTATAAGAAAGAGTCGGATACAATAACAGACTGTCCGTGACGGCAGGAGCACAAACACAGGGAGAGACCCCATTCAGTCAAGAAACGATAAATGCGGGCAGGCAAGTCCTCGCAAAAACAACCGTCTTAGTGGTTACGGCGTGGGTTAGGTGGGATTCATTGCCTGGAACCTCAATGAGTGCTGGAAATGTAGATGTCGTAACGAGGGAACGCTGCAGCAGCACGATTTGAACCCGTCGACCTCACAGTGTCGATGCATCGTCGCTCGTTGACTAAGGCGTCGTCCAAATCATCAAGCACCCTCAACTCGAAAGCTCCCGAGTGTCATCGTCCTCGTATCATGTTCGCCAAAAAGGGTTGGCGGGGAGCCTGATGAGATCTCAATGTCCACGTCCTTTCAGGTGCCGGAAAGTTTCGTCCATATACTTTCAATATGCACACAAAGGGCGAATCTACCGCCCCAGCGTCATCTATAATATAATTACTTGCCAAGGCTTTACCAACCCCTCATCTCCAGTCGTAACCAACATCTCTTCAATGCCTTTCCTCTCCGAACCTGCGTCGTATCGTTTGCACCAGGTGATATGGTTGATCTCGTACGGGCCGTGGGCATTAGGCACCTCTGCCGCAATGCGCCACTTGCCTGATCCCACAGGCACATCATCCGGCTTTCCACCCTCGATGGCCTCATCTGTCTCCATCGGCACGACATCCCCGGCATCATTCGCCTTGCCTCCCTCGCTTTCGTCCTCCTGGTACACCGCGATGATGCTGTCGCTCCCCGTGCTAGCCACCAGCCCCGTCGTCGCGCTCCAAGTCGCCGAGTAGATATCGCGCGTGTGTGCCTTGGGCAGGATTGCCGTGCACACCCATTCTTCGCGCAACGATCTCCGCATTGTATTGGGAATGCCTCCCAGTCCTCCGCCGCAGCCTCCGCGGCCACCCGTTTCGTTCTCCTCGTCCTCGACTCGCAGCGTCCATATCCGTATTGTCTGATCCGCCGAGTAACTGAGCAATCTTGGGAAGGCGCCGTCATCTCTCGGCTTCTCCTCCCATTCCACACCCCATACGGTGCCCTCATGGCCCTCCAGTACCGACACACAGACCCATTCGCCGTCGCCATCTTCGCGCCATATGCGCACAGTGTTATCGTAGCTGCTGCTTGCGACTACGTCGGCGCTGTATCTCCTTCGCGAGTTGCGACCCGGTACGTCAGGGCACCACGCGATACCCTTCATATCACCGTTGTGCTCATTCAGCACGGCGACCGTCTCCCACTCGTCATCCCCCTCGGTGGCGCCCACATCCTCCCATATCCATACCGTTTGGTCTCTACTGCACGTGGCGAGATATGCGCCGGACGGCGCAAAAGAGACGCCTTTGATCTCTGAATCGTGGCCCTCGAGTACGAGAGTAAACTCCCAGTCCTTCTCGCCATCGCTATCCGCATCGTCGAGGGAGCGACGTGCCGTCTTGCTCAGGTCGGTTTCGAGTGGTTCCGCGGCGTTGGCGCCGTTGCCAGAAAATGGGAGTTCGCCGTCCCAGCGCCACAGTCCGGCGGTGGAATCAAAACTACCGGTGACAAGGCACAGCTGGTGCGGAGGGAGATTAGGTTTCCAAGCTACCGAACGGATGGAGCGGGTGTGGCCACCGGTCAGCGTGCTGTGGGAGGAGAGAGACGAGAGCGAGAATATCTTGACTGATTTGGAATATGCGGTCGCGATGAGAGGGAGC